GAATTTCGAGGGAGGACAGTTTTGGTTTTGCAAAATCATAGTGTGTAACATTCTTGTTGAACCCCCCATACCCCTAGTATAAACTAACCCCTAGATATAAAATCCATCATGCATGTAACCATATAGGATAAATTTAGGGACATTAGGTCTGGACCACCCCCATGTATATTGTACGTGTGGTGGTAGGTCGCGGTTTAAAATACGGGTCCGTAAGTTAGATCAAGTTAGTTTTATTTTGTTCTAATATAAATGTATAATCATGTATATTGAAAATCATTAACATAAATAAATAAAAAAATATAGGATAAATTTAGAATAATCGGCAAATTTTTTTGATTTGATTGGATAAGGACCACGGACAATCATAATTGATGTCATGTGCAAGTCTTTTTAAAAGGTAGGAAAATTCGAGGTCAATTTATTAAAAAATTTTCTTGTACAATAAATAATGAAGCACGCAAAAGAAAATTTAATATTAGAAGTATTTCAGATATTATTATTATAGAACTTATAAAACTGGTAGTCCAACTTCATGTTAAAATTATCGCTTAGTGGTATTTGTTTACCCTAGCAAAAAATACATCAAAATAAAGGTTTTTTCATATATTTGTTATTTTTTATGATTCAAGTAACAATTTGATTAAATCAGGCAAGTTTGTGTATGAAAGCGTGATTTTTTTCTTCATTTTTTCATATAAAATTCCGTATTGATCAAAAAATTTTTATTAGTGAGTGACACTTGACCCACTTGAAATACTATTGATGGTGCCTAATAGTAATACTGAAAAATTAATCCATCAAAGTAATATAATCATAATCATATCATAATGGTTATTACAACAGATATATCTGCACGCGATAGAGCTTTAACTGCTAGACATTTAGCAAACCCTAATATAACAAATATTAATGATTCTAATAGACCCGGTCATATATTTTCATTAAGATATGCATTAGACGGTGTCTTAAAAAGGATACGACACACTAAAGCATCAACAGGTAAATTTCTGAAACTCTCACCCTCTCTTCTATCAACCTAACTCTTTTCAATATTTAGATTTATGTAAATTGGCTTGACTACAGCCTGTTGGTGTTATTTATGATGGATAAATGGCATGTCGTGATGATTGTCATTTATTTGCTGATGAGCGTGACTTGAAATTAATTGCAATTGAAGATTTGATTAAATACCGTTTAGAAAATGGACATTTAGAAATTTAGTGTTTTTGTTTATTTCACTTGATTATTTATTGCATAATTTGTAATTTTCATATATAAATCATTGAAGAATCTTAACAGAAATAAAGCTTTGTTTATTTTCGTTATCCTTGTTAAAGAGCATGTATGCATGCATTTATATATCTTTTTTTTTTGATGAATTCATTGCAGACAGATTCATGCATTGATTAATTTGATTTTTTCGTGGCACAGAAGTAAACTTATCCTATTTCAATGGAAGAATCTTTATATCTTTACAAAACCTAGATTCATGAAACAGCGTCCTTCAGATAACTTCCCAAAAAATGAAATAGAATCAATTTTGCAGTATTCGTAGAAGGTTTTCACTGCAATATAATGTATATAATTAAAATAAACGTGAGTGATTCTTTTTTTTAATCTTTATTAGGTATTAACATTTTATTTTCAAAGACGCACAATACAAGTAACAACATATAAAACCAGGGTATACACAGTAAGGGTATCCACTATCCCTTGCTATTATTGAATGTAATAGTAAAAATGGTGTGATTTTGTATTACGCCTACTTCAAAACATTGTTATTATAATACTAATATTTAAATAATAAAACCGAAAGCCGAAATCAATAAAGTAAAATGGTTTTTTTATATAGATTCGTTACGAGTTCTCGTTATTCTGGGCCAATAACTAATGTCGAAGCCTCACGGTATATGAGCGACGGGTATTTTTCTCTTGATTTTATCAAGACTACTTTGCAGAAATCAATCTAAAACCTGGTTTCTATATTACTAAGAATAATTTCAAAGCTAATGTAGAGTTGTTAGTAGAAAGGTATAGTTTCGACAAACATTTAGGCATTTTGACTGTCGAAATATATTCGACAAGGTCACTTGATTTGCCGTAATGTCGAAACATGTTGAAATGTCGAAAGTCTAAATTGATGTTGAAAGTCTAAATATTTTTTTCTAAATTAATTATTAATGTATAAAACTGACTATTTGCACCGCCAATAATATTAGTATTAGTAAATTTGAGAATGGAGCCAACTTTTTAATAATAATAAAATAATGCTGATTAATTGAAAATATCAATTTAATTCATCTTTTTTATCATTGATACAATGTAACTTCACCGTAACACGCGATCTCCAAGGAAATTTGATTTTTTCTTCCAACACTCAATTCAATCTTTATCATAGAAAAATATAAAGTTTGTGATTTTTTTTTGCGAATCATTCACAAGATTGTTATAAGGGAATAGATTTTATTGTAATTTGTAAGAATTTATATTAGTAAATTATGATTAATTTAAAGCATTTTGACAACATTTAGGCATTTTTTTCAATAACATTTAGGCATTTTGACATTATTTAGTCTTTCAACATCAATTTGGACTTTTGATATGATCAATCAATTTAGACTTTTGACATTAATTTAGGCTTTTGACATCACTTTAGACTTTCGACATCACTTTATACTTTCGACATCAATTTAGACTTTCGACATGCATGCCTAAATGTTGGATGACGAAATGTTTCGACAAAGTTCAAAACATTTCGACTAACAACTCTAAGCTAATGAAAAATATATTAATATATGAAGTTATATTTTTTTTTTTTGAGGGTTATCCTTCCATACTTACCCTTTAAGGAAAAAAGTTTATTATTATTATAAAAGTTCATTCATTCATTAAACTAAAATATCTAAAGAATACTCGCACTACAAAAAGAAAACTCAATGGCAAGTAAAATATTAGAAGAATTGTATATGATAATAGTAGATCAAAGAAGAAATGTCACTTATTATTTACTATTCCATTATATTTATTTTGTAATAATGAAGTCATGAGTCAATTCAAACATCAACACAATCAAATTCCTATTCAAGAAGATTTGTTAATCATGTAATAGGTTGTCATTCAAAGAAAATGACCCTTATCGTTCATTGAATCAAGATTTAGAAAGGAACAAAATCATATAATCATAGATAGTTTAAGTAAGTTATTGAGATTTTATTGGCGTTTATTTTTAATTGATTCAATATATATATATATATATATATATATATATAGCGGGAAGAGAAAGGAAAAAGCAAAAAAATAATTTTTCAAATTAATCTGGGACGGGTCCGATAGATATGCTTCATGGTTTTAAATATACCTGATTCAGGTAAAAAAAATAGTAAAAAAAAATTTGAAATCATTTAGCCACAAACATTAATTTTTCTTGGCGAAGATTAACGTAGTTATTTATTTCCTCGAAAAATTTTTTTGAAATAATAATAATAGTAATAATAGTAATAAAAGAATTCTGAAAACTTTTTTTAACTAATTGTGGGAAATTTGAAAATATAATTTGGGAAAATGTGTGTTTCGCGCTAAGCAATTGCATATATACTGTATGTATGTGCATATATTATACTATGTGTATGTATTGATTGATACAATTATTTAAATTTATGCAATAAATAAATGCTAATTGAATTGAATTTGAATTTACTTTAAAAACAGGGATTTTATATATATAATAATTGTTCATTGTACAGACATACATAGCATAATTAAATACAATTAAATATTATCATTCTATATATGGTAATAATGTAGTTAAAAAATGAAGTTTGAATAAAACCATAAAGTAATTTTTGATAGCGAATACAAATAAAAAATCCTGGTATTATTATTAAGTTAATGATAATGAAAGAATGAGTTATAGTGAATTAGTACATGGATGTATTGATTAATTAACCTTAAATCGACAAACTAATAAAACTTGAATGAATGAATGAATGGATGGATGAATGAATGGGATGGGATGGATGGGATGGACGGATGGATGGATGGATGGATGGATGGATGGATAAGTGATTGGTTGGTTAATTTGTTAGTAAATTTTTTGATGAATGAATGCTATATTCTGGCAAGTTAGTTTAGATCATTTTGTAATATTTCTTATATTTCTATATTTAACCTATCTTATGTTTTTGTTTTTTATTTATCCTCGGCATCTACCAAGAAGAAGCATGTGTGTGTGTGTGTGTGTGTGTGTGTGTGTGTGTGTGTGTTTAGTAATAACAAATATTAACAACAAATATTATTTACATACATTATTATTGTCATTATTAAGTAAATATCCATTTTAATACTTATAATAATAACATATATACACTATATTTTATCGCCACCACATATTATACCAATCAATAGTCATTAATTAGTAATTATTTAATTATCTGATGATATTGTATATATATGTAAAAATTAAGTTAATTACGCGTGGATCTTTCCCCTAAAGAAAGGTTCAATTATCACATCATTCCAAGCACGCAAATGTAATGACAAATTAAAATAATCACTCATTGTACATGCCGTAATATGGCGGATAAGTATCACACCAGAGATATATTGTTTGCAAAAAATTACAGTCGATTGTTATTGGATCAGCAGATTGAAGAAAGACTTTAATACCTTTGATAAATGAATAATAACCACTTTCAAGTGAGAAATAAATGACAGTCATCTCACCATGAATCATCTTGATGAATCCATGTATCCCTGGTAGAAAAAATGGATCCACAAAGATTTCATGTAGTGAATATAACAACCGTTTTTACAATATTTTTAACAATGGTTTTACAAATATTAGTAAAATATTGTAAAAACGGTTGTTATGTACAATGCTTTCACTATGTAAAATCTTTGTGGATTCCATTTCTTTCTACCGGTAACTAAGGTCTTAAATTTTCGATGGTCAAAGAGAATAGAAGTGTTGGCATCATTTCTCTTGATCCAAGAATGAGAACCTTCATTACTGGATATAACCCGAGCGCGAAGTTATAGAATAAAGAAGAGTAGATATATAACTTATGCTTGCATTATGATAGAATCAAGATCATATTATAAGCGTAAAGGTATAAGCACCGTTGATGCGTATGAATGCATGCTACGGATCCACAAGAAAATTCGTAATCTTGTGGATGAACGTCATCGAAAATTTGCACGAAAACCACCATTACTCTCTAAAGTTTAAAACACAAAATATGGTCAAAAACGAAGATGGTTAATCTAAATCTGCGAAGCAAATGTTGACCTGATCACATATCCGTTTTTGCCGATATTTGCTCCATAAATCCCCGAATATCCTTGGTGCAAGGTGACAATTTGCACTCGTGAACGCACCAATAAAATGTGAATGCATCAAACAAAACCTGGGTCCCTCAAAGACCTTTAGATGTGCATTTTACAATCCCACCATTGACAAAGATGTAAGCAGAACCTGTAATCTACTTTTAAAGTATATTAACGAAACACAAAAAGAGTCACCCGCGATGTTGTAGCTTCCTCTGAGATATTTCATTCGGCTGCCTACTTGCGCTTTGGTATAGGTTCAATGTAAGGTGTTAATTTTAAACTTAACGGAACTAATTTTTTTTTTGTATAATACAATGTTTTAAAAATTACATCCATTCGTTTTCAAAATACAACGGGTCCTCAAATTAATTAATTAAAACACTTAATTGCTAAATTTAGATCACATACAATGCAAAATCTTTCATAATATGTACGTACATATGCAAACAATATTAATATTAATCTGTTACACGAAAAAAAAGTGCATTAGGGAAAACACGTAATTCTGATATTTTTAATTAACCCATAGCTTTTATTAGATCTTCAAATAATAATAATTTGATTGATCTTTTACAATTGATTAATTTTTTAGAAAATAATACAATATTTTAACTTTAATTAGTTAGTTGATTTATTAGATTAATATTCTGATTAACCGATTAATTAGGTTAATTAGATTGATTAACTAGTTCGTCATCATAATCATCATCACCGACAACAAAAGCTGTATTGCTACAACAGCACACGAGCTAACAATATACACTTTTCAAATAAAAAACTCATGCACCAATTATAAACAGCCTACGCAAATTGTTATTTGGTAAATAAACTTTTTATGTTGAAAATACAATACAATCTATTCAAAGTGTTCGGATTATTTTATACTCCTTTTAGTAAAAATTTGTTAGGAGAGAGAATATCGGACAAAATTTTAATTATGTTTGAGATAAGAGATAAAATAATAAATTTGGGCTTATTATAAAAAATTCATGTGAATGGATGGATGAATGAGATGGTGGATGAATGGACGGATGGATGAATGAATGGATGACAAAGTTTTTAAATTAAAAAAATTTGCGTAACAATATACATAAATAAATATCTAGCTAGTATTTAGCATGCATTTTTAATATAAACATTTACGTTATTGCGTATGGAAATCTTTTAATGATGACGATGATGATACTTACCCAACTTCTTTATAATTAAATATATCAGATGATGAATAGGAATGACTATGTTATCATAATAGCTAATATTGTTTACAATTGCTTATTGTTCGGAAAAACAAAATTATTTTTCTTCGCGCGTATACACACACAATCAATACTAATGCATTTATGTTTCTTCACTCGTTCACACAAAATTCATTTAGATACTCTCTTTTCTTTATGCCAGTTTTACATATAACAATATATAAAAATATATTTTTTATCCTGTTCGTATTATTAAAGATTTTGTGTAATGACGTACATAATCTACTAGTTCATTCAGCCAATCAATTTTTATTCCGATTTTAATTTCGGCCCATAATTTTTATCAACGATTTTTATTTTTTTACCCAGTCAACCTCTAGAACATTCTAAATGATCGTCAAAGTAATACAAATGAATTCTATTTATTCCACGCCCGCCCCATCAAATTTATACTTTAAAGTGTATGTATATTTATGATGTAATAATTACATTATGTAATACTTTAAATTCTTATTATAAATTTAATAAATTTATATAATAAAGTAATAATCTAATTTAAAAAACAATATTAATCACGGCAAAGCCCGAATTTTTTCTTATAATTATTAATTATCTTATAATTATTATATTTTTTATACCAAATTTCTAAATAAAGAATACATTATTTTTCTTTGTTTTCTATTAAATTTATACGCGTGGCATTTGTTTTTTTTTAATTTATTTTTATTTTTATTTTTTTTTCCTAATTGAAATTTCTCCTTTAATTGTTTCATTTTCATTTTTACTACACTCATCATCACCATCATTATTATTATTATGATAAATTCTTTTTTTGATAGGGAATAAATAAAGAAAGCACGTTGTTACAACAATGATGATGGTGGTGATGATAATAGCAAATAATGAGCGATTATGAATATAATAATGATAATAATAGTAAAACCTTGTTTACCATATAAAAAGATTCAAAAAAAATTTTTAATTAATTAATTATGAGCGTGTGCGCGTGCGTATGATTAATTGATTTGATTGATTATACATTGCGCATACAATGGTTGCCATGCGAATATTTATTTTTATATTTTTTTGCTTCAAAATTCACCAACAAATCAATAAAATTATCAGATCTATATTATTGTTAAATTGTCTTATTATTATATATGTCAGTGTGCGTGTGTAATTATTTATTTATTATTTTGTTATTGTTTGTTATTGTTATAATAATAATAATAATAATAATAATAATAATAATAATTTAAATTTTTTTTTAAAGAAAACAATTTGTTCATTTTTTTTACATTAATGTTTTTTTCAAGTCATTTAAACATACTTAAAAAAGATTTTCAATAAGAAACGGATGAAATGTCTGTTTTTAGAAATTGGTAACCGAAAACTTGTTTTTTTTTCGGTAATTGACCGCCGGAATAATTTTGTGAGAGTAACAAAAACACAATTCTTTTCATACAAAAATAAAAATAAAAAAATAAAATAAAAATCTATTGATATTTGGTATACATGTATATATATGATGGTTTGTGGTTTTTTGGTTGCAAACTTTTCTTTAAAAGTTTGTCATTTAACCAATAAGAATACATGTTAAATCATGTGATTAACCATCACATGATTATATGGTTATTACTTACAAGTAAAATATAAATATATGGATGGCCCCGATCAAATCCGTTATTTATATTTGTATTTAGCATTATCTGCTCATTATTAATCATCTAATTAATTAAACCGAATTTATTATATACTTCATTGTCAGAGAGACATTATTTCCCAAATTAAGATTTGCATTTTTGGCTGTGTAAAATGCCTAATAAGGATTATCAAACAAAGAAAAAACAAAAAGAATTCTTCTTTTTCAATAAAATTAATTTTCTGCATAAAATCATCATTATCATCATCATCATCATAATATTATTAGTAATAGTGTAGGAATTACATAATAACAGATTTCGTCCGATATTAGATTTACCGGGAGTTTTCCTAATTTGAATTATTTCTCCCCAAAGATACCGGATTTTATAATTAAACTTCCAAATTTTACCGAATTTTCTCTTTTTACATCCTGATAATAAAACTATATATATATATATATATATATATGGGTTAATTGGAGGGAAAGGAAAGGATTGTTAATGTATAATAAATAAAATCATCATAATTCGATTTCCAATTTCATTATGTTATTGCCTACAAATAAAAATAAATAACAAAAGAAATCTAATATTTTGAGATTTTTGTAAAACATAGTTTATACATTCATTCTTTATTATCATTTCCAAAATTATCATTATTAATTACTATTATTATTATTACTGATATCATTGCTAATATTTTATTATTACAAATACTTATTAAATACTTATTATATTACATATTGTTACATGTTTTATTATTAATTGAACTGCTTTGCTTGTTTCCTACTCTAAATAATTATTTACCATTACAATTTCAAATTAAGATTTTTTGTGTTACACGATTGGTTAACAATATTAACAATAATATTATTTATATATCAAAGTTAGTTAGTTACACATTTATTATATATCATTAATTATATCATCGTTTATTACATATTCTTAATTTAAATTGTTAACAATGAATTATTATTTCTTATTGTAACGTAATATAAATCGTTTAATATATATTATAATATTCAAAAACTATATAAAGTTCAACGATTTTGAGTTCTTTTTTTTTTCCAAAAAAATTAAACAAAAAAAAAATTTTTTTTTTTTACAAATTTATAATAAAATAACTTTAATATATAAATCAAAAATTTTTTATTTTTTTTTATTTTTTTAAAAAAAAAAACTTTTTGAGAACAAAACTAAAAATTTTTTTTTTATTTAAAAAAACACATCTTATTTTTTTTTTAAAAGAAAATTATGTTCAAGATGTCTTATTATTGTTTTGAAACTACAAAAAATCATAAAAATGTTAACCCTTATCCACTTCCCATTCACCATCATCAACAGCAACACCAACACCATAATCAACAACAACTACATCGATTTAATAATAATTCAAATAATAATAATAATAATCAACAAGAGCAATTTCAAATGTCAAAAACCGAAATTGTTGAACATATCATTTCAGAAACACTTACTGAAGCTTATCAAATTAAGATTAAAAAACATACAACATTGCCTTTACATGAACTAATCACCCCAAGCGTTAACGTTAGAACTATTAAAAATCCAAGACCTCAAAATAGTTTCGTCATTTATAGACGAAATGTTCAAGCTGAAATTGCCAAAGAGAAAGGTACGAATGCTGCTGGGAAATTAGATTATGTATCAAAATATGCTGCCGATAAATGGAGACAAGAATCGCAAGAAGTAAAGGACATTTATGGTTTATTGGCGAATTGTGCAAAGAAAGTTCATGATATAATGTATCCTGGATATGTTTATCAACCAAAACGTCAAGCAACAACAAATGAACCAATGATAATGGTACACGAACCTAGTATTAATGGTGTTGGTTACAAATTAAGGCCTTCTTCTAACAACAGTAATAGTAATAATAACAACAACGGTAGTGGTATTGGTATCCCCATTAATAATAGTATGATGAATAATAGTATGAATACTATGATCCCAAATAACCCTAATATCCCAACACCTCCCGAGACTCCTTTACCATCACCTCCTGCTCAAAGACCTATAAGGTTTAATTCATCATCACCACCAAATTATTATCACCATCATCATCATCCATCAAATCATTTACTACCATCATTATTCAATCATAATCATAATAGCAACCAATATCATAATAATCATAATCATAATCAATATCAATATCATAATCATAATCAATATAATTCACATCAAATATTTAATAATAATAATATGATCCCACCACAATTACCACCGTTAAACAATCATTATCAACAACAACAACAACAACAATTTTCTTCATCTTCTCAATTATCAACAATGTTATCATCATCTGCATCATCATCAATATCATCTTCTAATCCATCAATTCCACATCCACTCCCTCCAGTCCCAAGTTCGTCATCATCATCACCATCACCATCAGTATTATCACCTCCACCTCCTCAACAACAATTATTAACATCTTCGATAACATCATCATCATCACCTTCAATATCATCAATAACACCATCAACAAAATCATCATTAATATTTAATGATGATAATAAAATATCATTTCCAGTTTTACCACCTCCGCCAGCACTTGATATTAATTTCAATACAACAACTTTTGATTCCATGTCAAGTTATGATAGAAATATGTGTAAAGCATTTGATGTTACAGTGAATTATAAATAAATAAATAAATGATGTAGTGGGTTGGTCAATAATTATAATTATAATTACCGTATTATTACGATGACAATTAATTTTTATTTCTTCATTTTTAATTTTAATGTGGGGACTTGGGGGATAATTTTTTTTCATATTTTTTCATATTAGTAAATTTTAAAAATGTTTTTCATTATTATCATTCATCATCATCATCATCATCATCATCATCATCATCACATCATCATCATCATCAACATCATCAACATCAACAACATCATCAACATCAACAACATCATCATCAACATCATCATCAACATGTTTAAAAAATATCATCAAATTTAAAAAATTAATTTAATTTTAGTTTTTTATTTTTTTTCTTAATGTTAAATAATAACACTAACATTTGATAATAATAATAGTAATAATAATAATAATAATAATAATAATAATAATAATAATAATAATTAACATTTAATAATAATAATAAATATTTTCTCTATGCATATATAAAATAAATATAAATATTTAAATATATACATAATATATAAATTGTTTTATAAGATTTTTTTCTTTTTATTGTAATAAAGATTTTCATTAAAAAATAAATAAAATTAATTTTTTTAAATATTATAATTAACGATTCGCATTTTCGATGGATGACCTTTATTCTCGTACTAAAAATAAGAATAATTATGGTTACAATTATTATTTTTTATCATCATTATTTAGTATATTGATTGATCTTTTTGAACACAAAATAAACATCGCGCAAATCGTACACACGAACATATTAATATTAATATTATTATTATTTGTTACTGACGACTTTCCGAAATCCTGGAAATGCCAAGTTTTTATAATGAACGTTTCAGAATTTTACATTCATTTATTTATTTTTGTTTTTCACATGCATCAAATTGAACATGAAATTAATTGATCATCGATAAGAAAATCAAAGTTACACAAAAAAATCAAGCGAACAATTAATTTGACATGCATAATCTAATCTTTTTAATATTATTAAAAATTTCCGTTATGATAATATACAATAATAATAATAAATAACATAAACATAAGCACAATCCTCACGCATAGATTATTATTAAATCCTTTCTTACTACAGGTTCAATTCTATTTTGCTTAATTTGTTAGATTGGAAAAAAAATGTAAGAAATAATTTTAGTGTAAATTTCGTGCTATCTATAGCATATCAATCAATACGTAAATAACATGGAAGTATTATCTGTATATTTATGCAAGGGATGAAATTTAATTTTAAAATTTAAAAACAATAATAGGAGTATAAATCAATCAATTAAAACAATGTAACATTCATTTTCCTCTTTACTGCTTACTACTTATCTCTTTGTATGTTTTTCCAACGAATATAAAATAATTGTTTTATCAATCAATCACGAAAGCAGGAGAAAAATATTAGTCGTCGATCTATCAAATCATGTGCTGCAGTGTAACATTCTTTAGCCAATGAATATTTTCATCGGCAAAGGAATTTATTAATAAAAAATAATTTATTCAAAAATTATACCAAAGAAAACCAAGACCCAATAAATAAATAAAAATTAATTAATAAATAAGAAAGAAAGTAAGTGAGGAAGTAAGAAGACAAGTAAATAGCTACTAATTAAAAAAACAATTAAAAAAAAATCAAAATATTTAATAGTATACAATTTCAGGATTTCAAAATTAATTACAAAGATTAAACCATTCAAATAAAGTTCATAATAAAATCCAAAATTTTTTAATAATAATGATATACAAAGTGCATTTTTAAAATGATCCATGAGAATTTTGTGAAATATTGTTGTGAGTGTAGAAATTATTTGTTGCAATAATTGTCATATTGTTATTAGCAATGAAATTTCTATTATCATTTTGGTATAAAGTAATTGAATTAATTGGTGTAGGATGGAATACTGAAGATGAAGATGAAGAGGCCGAGGAAGATGAAGACGAAGAAACGGATGTGGCAGTGTTGTGTAAAGTTAGGTGACTATTTGGGAGGAGGATATTTTTATTATTATTATTATTATGAAATGGTTGCAGACGTTTATAAATTACTTCGGTTTCTTTTTCACGAAATTCGTTATAAAGTATGTTGAATGCTATGGCAGATACGTGATCTTTTGCATCATTTTTTTGCCAAAAAGCCAATTCTGGTGTAAATAACCGTCCACCAATCATACAATCATACAAATAATTACCACGTCCATCATCTCTTATATTATAAGTTGGATGTGCTAATTTATGCATTTGACAAAATTCCAATAATAATACACAAGGTCTTTTTATTGAACCAGTGCTGGCCTGTGCAACTTGTTTTTCGTACCATTGAACGGATTTTGGAATTAATTCTAGAGGATGTGGTGGAATAATTTGTTGTTGTTTTATTTCAGTTCGAATGTTTTTTGTTTTCTGATTAGCTGAAATATGTGCTTTTACTAATTCGTACCGAATTAATTTTGTTAAATCTGGTTTCCTGGCTGATAAATCTTTCATTGCTATATTGGCTGCTGCTTCCTTAGCCTGTTGTTTCTTTGATTTGGCTACTTGATTCTGATATATTTGTCCATCAAATTCAACTTGACAATAAAAGTGCCCCGTCATTGGATCGTGTGTGAAATTGTAAACAGGTGCACGTTTTAGTTTCATTTTTTGATGCATGGTGTTCAAAAATGATATAGGATTTATACATTGATAAGACTCGTCATGATCAACAACATCGTCTAATGATCTCGATGCTTGGACAGAAGTTTCTGATTGTTGTAATAAAGATATTTCTTGAGATAAATTGGTCATAACTAATTGTTTTCCTTCTTCTTGCTGTTCTTTTTGTGCTTCTGAAACCTCTCTTTCCCCATGTTTTTCTTGTTGTCGTTCTATCTGTTCTTGTTCTCCTTTGCCAAATTGTTCTTCTTTATCAAATTGTTTTTCTCCATCAGATTCTTCTTTATCAGATTCTTCTTGTTCACGATCGTCAGATTTTGTTGTAATATTTTTGACAGATGTTTCTTCAATATTTTCCGGCTCATTTTCTTCGTCCGTTTGAACTATTGTGGAAAATGAACTTGAAGCCTCAAAGTCATTGTTATCGCTTTCGCTGCTGCTACTGCTAGAATTTTCAATCAAAGACATTTTTTTAAAAAAAAAATTAAGGCTATAATGTCTCAATTATTATTATTATTATTTATTATTATTATGAAAAAACTTTTAAAGTCCTTATAATATATTATCACTACTCTATTATTATTATTATTATTTTGAACCATACAATTTTTCTAATTATTCTGGAGTAATCTAATAATGAATGATGATGATTTCCTTTACTTTTTTCAAGAGTAATTTAATAAATGGTTATTTCGTGTAGCGTAGCACATGTATATTTTTGGTATTTAAATGTACACAACAAAATGTTCGTTCGTTACACAAAACCTCGGGAAATTCTTGCGTTAAAGTTCACTATTATGAAATGAATGAATAATTATGTTTGTTATGTTATCATGAGATTTTGGATCATTTTCTGCTTGAATACACACTCTTTATGTATAATGAATGGCCAATGCTCTTAAAACTTAATATCAAGCATTTGACTTCTCTTTATTTATTTCCTAGATGCAAAGAACAATTTATAGATGCTATATTCAAATATATATTTATGAAACATTGTCTGCATGATTACAAATTAATACCTACTCCAATACCTTGTATACTTTGTAAACAAAAGTTAGAATCTTCTTCTATCTATAAGATATACACTCATCAGGAAATTTTTCTGATGCAGATTTACATAATTATTACACTATTTACATAAGTTTACAGTGGGCCTGTAATATTATGCAAATAAGCATACAAAAATTATGCAATT